TCATGCCCGTGTTTCAGAAAACATGGTTTTCGGGTGTCTCATTGTTTCGAGCGGCAGCAGTTGCTCCTCAAGGGAGGGTGGGAGCCACCATGCTGCCTCTCTCTTACATAGCTTCCAAAACCAGGCCCATGCCTGGATCAACCGTAGGCATCCCCCTTGCAGTAGCAGGACCGCAGAGGTTATATCATCCACTTCAATGAGAAATGCAAACATTTTCCTCATGCAATCCACTTCCTGCGGTGTGCAGTTTGTGTTTTGGGTGGGCTGTGTCTTCAAGATTTTCTCGGTTGCCATTCCACAATGAGCACGGAAAGCACAGCTCATTAGTGCTCGAGACACAGCCTGCCGATGCAGGCTTATTGACCTAGTGTCATGATGTGCCAGCAAGCATTTGTACCGCAATTTTGATGGCCAACCTTGTGGCCCTTTTTGCTCTAATTCATTGCCCAACCTTGGTTTTCACTCTCTGTCTCACCTGTGCATGTACATTCAAGCTTACTTTCAAGGGAGAGTCGTCTCCATCCTTGTGTTTCCGCTGGTCGGTTTTGCTTTGGTTTTGGGGGTTTGGTTTTGTTTTTGTGATTGGTTTTGGTGTTTTGTCCCCTTCATGATGGAGAGGAAGAATATGCGGACCACCCCAAAGCAATCTCGGTTCCGATGAATGGGACCGGCATTCTTCCTGCCAAAGCATTCTTTGCCGTAGCGCGGCTTCGGCATGTCCAAGTTGAGGCGGGATATCACACCATTGAGCGACAGGCATGGCGATACTGCCACACGCTCACCATAGTTGAACTGCCCAGCTCTGTGGTTACAGTGGCGAATGCTGCATTTCAAGGATGTTTTGCACTTACCACAGTGGTGATGCCAGGGTGCCCAATCTTGGTGCTCGACTTTTTGCAGAATGTTGTGCTCTAGAACAGGTGGGAGTGCTTACAGTGCGCCCCTGCAGATCAGCCTGTGGTGCCACAATCTCACCCTATGCCTTTGAAGGTTGCATAAGGCTAGCACAAATAGGTCTTCCCCGGACCAGAGCCACTACCGGGATTCAAGAACTAACATCCCCACCAGAAGGTTTGCCAACGGGGTGCTTCCATTCGTCAGGCATTCAAGACATCCACCTTTCGCAAGCAACTGAGTTTATAGGTCATAAGGCCTTTGCACAATGCCAGCAATTAATTGCCATTGACCTTTCACACACGCGAGTGAGAATAGTCAAGTGCAAGTATTCTCACACTGTCGAGCCTTGGCGCAAATCACCCTGCCAAAACATCTCACAGAAACAGGCGCTGAAGCCTTTGAAGCTTGTGTTTCGCTTTGTACAATAGCACTTCCGCCGTTTGTAAGCAGCATTGGGTACCGTGCCTTTGCGCAGTGCAGCAGTCTGATATGTCTCACACAACGCAGTGACAGAGCAAGCCAGCACGGCATTCAAGTTGCAGCTAATGCTTTCGATGGGTGTCAGGCCCTAGTCGTTCCTGGAGGAATCTGTGGTTTGGCTGGTTAGGGAAAAAAGAAAAAAACCTTCAATGATCAGATGACTGCCCGTGCAGTTGTCCTATCCACTACACACAGAACAAGCTATTAGCAAAAGCGAGTCACAAGCGAGTCACAAGTTGAAGCACAAGCAAAATGTAAGTAGACGCGACCCCTTTGGGCTCGAAGAAAAGAGTGCAAAGTCATATAGAGGGGAGACTGCCATGATTGCTGACCATATCTCAGTGTCTACTTCGCAGTGGAGTGAAGAAAGGGCACTGACTGTGCATTTGGTCTTGACCACATTAGCTGGCGATGAAGCCCAGCTAACAATTGAAATTCAAGAGTTCGACCGACTGCAAGAATTTGAAGATGCAGTCATGGAACAACTGCCTGTGATAGGTGAAAGCAGCACCTTTGGGTGCGAACTAAGCTTTGTTTGTCGCAACTCGCAACAGAAGCTAGTTGACCCAATCTGGCACACGTTGCGAGATTGCAACTGCTTTACTGTTGTTGTCAGCCCCTGCTTCGAGCAAGCCGAGCGTAAGGGGCAAATGCAAGGGGAAGCCAAAGCCCTGCAAGTCCCGTTCAATGACTATGATCGGATTTTTCCACAGGCCTTCGCGCACGTTGCAAAGGTGCGGCATGTGCAAGTTGATGCGGGCTGCCGTATAATAGGGGAGGGGGCTTGGCGCAACTGTCAGCACCTCCAAATTGTACATCTGGACAGCACCGTAACCAGCCTGCAACGCAAGTATTTCACCGCTGCGCAGAGTCATTGCACCAGGATGCAAGCAGTTTGGAGCACAGGTCTTTGAAGAGTGCGTGCGCTTCTGCAGATTGGGACTACTCATGATGCCACCAATCAGCTCGCTCCACAGGCAGAACTCATGCCCCGAGCCTTTCGTAAATGTACAGTGCTGCGTCAAATCAATTTCGAGCTGACGGAGTACCATTCGAACGGCCGGACGCGATGTTTGCCGGAATGCTGCTTCATGCAACCTGGCTTAACCGCATTGACCCTACCTCCAGATTTTAATTGGATGGGGCCGGGTGCCTGCGAGCGGTGTATGCAGCTGCAATTAGTAGATCTCTCACGAACTGAAATCACAGAAATCATGGGAGGTACCTTTGCACACTGCAACACTTGCAAACATTGATTCGACAGGAAGCCTTCCTCAAATGTGCCTCCTTAACAGAGGTGCACGTGCCTCCCACATTGCTCTATGTTGCACGACGAGCTTTTGCGGGGTGCACACAGCTCTGTCGCTTTCAGAGAAATGGCCAAAGTGTGACCTGGCGGGGCACCTACTCTCGAGGAAATGCTTTTCTTCGCTGTGACAACTTAGATATGCGGAATAATTGGGTTCGATGGTTGCCACGCACTCAAGAAGACGAGGATCAATGGGCAGATGACTCTTTTGCTGCCCTCGATTAAGGGTTGGTGTCGACGTGCTCACGGATGTCTTGCGTCACTGCTTGCGCCCGTGTGCTGGCTAGACCCCAATCATATCCCAATCATATCTCGTTATGTCTTTTTGAAAGCTGCAAGCGCACTTGTTTACCAATAATGACTACATAAGCAAAGTAGGCTGCTGACCAACACCCGTGTGCCGGTCCTGTGCGTACCAGCCAATGACACAGTGCTAGCTGCCTTCGTCGACACTGAGTAGTTAGCCAGTCCCAGCCTGCTGCCCGTGTAGTGGTTCTGGATGAGTACAGTGTACAGAATTAGAAAAACGGCGTCTCACCCCGTTTCACTTCCTAACTTAGTATCATAGTTCATGGGGCACATGCATGTTTTGGCCGCTCCTGATGGCCGCGGTGGAAAGAGGCTGATGGAAGAATAAAAGCAACACAAAGTGCAGTAATTGTCCAGGATGACTGCCCACACCTGGAGCATGTCACGCTTTACGCTCTGTATCAAGCCCTGTGTGCTTGACTTGCCTGACATGCTCTGCTTGATCCTCCCCCTCTGGGGGAGGAAAGGGAGCCACCTCTCCCTTGCCACCTCTTTTGAACCATTTCGGTGACCTTGCACTGTCCTTCATCCTCGGCTTTTTGGAAATACCGAGCTGAGTGACCGTGGTTTTCCTTTGACGGCACCTCCTTGGTTCCGCATTCGTGGCTACCTGCTGGCAAAAAGGCAAATCGCGACGAATGGACCCAGGTCAAAGGGCCATTCCCTCACTAACAATTCGCTTCTATTTGATGCACACTTTCACTGGTGGTAAGAGCACAGTAGCAATGCTGCAATTTTGGACTGTGCCATCCTTTCCATCGTTTTCATCCTTGCCTTTTTGGTGGTGCTACGGCACTCACAGGGTGATAAATGGCTAAGCAGTACTTGCAACAGCACATGCAACCGTTTGCTCGCTGGGCTCTTACGCCCCTGATTCGATTGCACCTTGCTCCGCTTCATGAAGAACAAGAAGTACTGAGCGTTTTTTGCGGAATTCATCGCCCCTGTCATGCCTTCTTGGCTCTCGGAGCTGCGCTACAGGTTGCACTCGTTTTGGGTCTTGTTGTGTTGTTTTTTGGTGGGTGTTGGGTTGCTTTGGTCCTTTCGTGTTATGTGCAACCTGTCTAGTAACTCCTTCTTAACTCGACTAAGGTGACTTGTGCATGACCTGCACACACAGCGCCTCCACTCGTGCAAAAAGATCCCCTTCATGATAGAGACTCTCCCCACAAAAATTGCACAAGCTGACCTGCACTTCCTGCATGAATGGCGGCTCGACTCGTGCAAAAATGTTTGGGTGGGGTGTCAGAAAGTAAGGAAACACCAGCGAGTACACCCCACAGACATGACACAGCACACAACGAGAAGTGCAAAACACTGGCATTTGGGCCCGGCAATCCACGCTTTTCTTGGCAAAGCAAATCACCTCGCACCTCATGTCTTGGTGCCGAATGGGGGCACGCTGAAGAGCCGTCGGCGGTTTTTGAGTCGACCGAGTCGGACTTGGTGGGCACGGCGCAAAACTGGCTTGCAAAAGTGTTTCTTGGAGTTTTGGACCAACATTTTCTTGCAGGACTGTAGCACAAGAGGGACTGTACGAAATCACTTGCGCTAGAAATGTGCATTTGTTGCAGCCAACTCAACGTTTGATCACACTGGCATAGAGAAAATGCAGGAACATTTCACTTCACCGTTCATGTTCTTCTTGCTTGGTTCTCAGAAAGGGTTAGGCCAGATTGCCGCATGACTAGACAGAACCCTGCCAGCCAAATACATGTGTATATAAACTAAATGTTAATTGAACCGTCGGTTTCAGGTGTTTTGCGTCCAACGAAATGAAAGATGCAAGTGCCTCTCGATGTACGCCAATTTCACAAACCTTTGGATGCGATATTTCGGCTGAGAACTGGCAGAAACAGTCTGGTTGGTAAGTTCGAAGACCCCATTCTCCAAACAGAACCTCTCTATGTCTGTATGTGGGTTGGCCACCTTTGCCCAACCCAGGATTGCTCAAAGAGCAGTGTTGAGACAAAACAGTCATCCAACGACGGTTTGTTTTCTTTTTTTCGCGTTCGACTGGTCCGGTCGATCGGGTGCCATGGGGATGTCTTCCTCCCCAAGTTGGCCTTCTAGGTGCGGACCACGCTTGTAGAACGAGCAGACTGAGTTAGTTGCAGCCCGCAGACTGAGGCATCGAGGTAGATGCGTGCGGCTGGTGGCATCACTATGTTTGGTTGCAGCTGCTTGGCGGTTTCTGTTTTCGTGTTCAAAGGACTTTTTGGCATTCTGTTTTGTCATGTTTGTTGCTGAAGATTTGATCCTTTCCCCAAAACCCTTCGGCACAACCCCCAGCAGCAACCCACGAGGTTTTTGGAGTGTTACAAGTGTTCACGAACCACTTTGGATGATTCAAATTTGGATTCGGGTATATTGCGTGTGTGAACGAGGTAGCTCGTTTCTGGGTATGATTTTGAATGACGCACTGCCTTCGTTTCTAATGATACTCCATGATATATGTTTGATATTTCTTCTCTCCTTGCAACGAGAACCTCAGAACCCCCCAGGCCCATCCAATTAAACCAGCCCGACGACTCGTGTCAAACGGATGCTCTTTTCTCTCCCACGTTGCCGGCCACCCTCCCCCGCTTGGGCTGACCAGTGGACACCGTGCCCCGTGCTGGGCTGTCAAGGCTCACGAGCCGCCGACCTGGACGGAGGGCTGCGCGATCGGCGACCGGATCGAGGGGCGCTACGGACACACGGCGGTGATGGACGGCGACGGGAAGATGTGGGTCTTTGGTGGAGACAGCGGCGATGACAATGGCCAGCAGCCTCAGGTTGAAGAAGTTTGTTTTTGAGATTGACAGGTCAAAAACGTCTTGGAACCTGATTCAGATGGAATGCAGAGAAGCCTGAGTGTGGGTCTTTGTTATGTTTTCCAAGGCTTTCGCAATGATGTGTGTTACTTGGACACAGAGGCGGGCCTTCATTCGCTGTTGCCGTGAAACCAATTGGCCACAGTCCAGCGGGTCTGCGCCGAAGATGAACCAAAAACAAACAGATGTTTGCTTCGGTGGCTTCTTCGAGTTGCTTTCCAACATGAATGAACTCGATCCTCCCGTTTTCAATGTGTTCAACCCATGTTCCTCAGATGGAGGAGGTCCCGTCCTCGCTCTCCAGTGCAGGCCATTCCGCCCAGTTGGACCTGCCCAGTCGTCACGTCTGGCGAGAGTCCCTCCGGCCGCTATGGGCATAGCGCGGTTTTGGACCCTGAGGGAAAGATGTGGATCTTCGGTGGGCGCAGCAGTAGTAGCAGCAGCAGTAGCAACCTCAGACCGCGATGGAGTGTTGTGCAGCTTTTGTCTGGGATGGCTTCAGTTCTGCTTTCATTGGGTCTGCTTTTGAGGACTCCTGAATGACGTCTGTTTCTTGCGCACTCAGGCAGGCTCATCAGTTCATGAAGAAACAGACCTTGAGTTTTCCAGTTCCTTTTTCATGTGATTCGCTTCGAAGCGGATGGGGAAACTTGACACTGGAACACGACAAACACGACGTGTGCCCACACGCTGCTCGTCCAGGCAAGTCCACCAACGTGGATCTGTCCATCGACCGATGGCGATGGCCCAGACGCCCGCTTGTTGCACACCGCTGTGATGGACACATCGCAGAGGATGTGGGTCTTTGGTGGGCAAAGTAGCGATGGGAGCCACTTGCTCAGAGGGCTCTGCTGTGCGGATTGTTTGGAGACCTCGAGTCCTGAAATGAGACAGAATTATATAGAAAATTTTGAAAATAACATAAAACAAGAATATTATTTCCTTCCAGACTGTTTAGTATGCAAGGTGAGGGGATACAATACCCAAACGCCTAGGCCGTGCTCCATTTTCCACAAGCTATTCACAGACCAGTCATCTCATCGTTTGTTGTGATATTTCCTTTGCTAAGGTTACTTGGATGATGTGTACTATTTGGACACCCAGGCTGACCAGATCTCTTTGAGCATGTTTGCATACCGCAACCAAGCAACTTTTCGACCTTTTTGGGCTTGCGCTTGCAAGATGTGGGCTGGCTTTTTTGTTCCTTTTTGGAACCAAGAATTTCATGGGAGTCTCTTTCACATTGATCGGTTATGAGTTGCTGCGAACCACTGCGTTACAGGCATCCCCACCTATATGGATGAATCAGACCTTGTCCAACCCGCTTGACCTCTCGGGGCATACTGCAGTCATGGACAGCAACACCAAGATGTGGGTATTTGGTGGAAGCAGCAGCAATAGCAGCCCAAGCCTCAACAGTGCTCTAGAATGCTTTTGAGCTGGTGCCTGACAGGCTTAGTGCAAGAGTGCAAGAAAGGCCCTGCCATGTGGATTATCTGAGGTTTGCATTGCCGTATTGGCAGTGGGGCGACCACCTAAAGACCTGTTAGAAGAGGAAAAAGACAACAACACAACACACACACACAACACACAACACACACCAATGTGGTCTTCTGTTGTCTCCAAGGCTACTTGGATGATGTGTATTACCTGGATCTCGAGGCGGGACTAGTCCAGACTCGTTGAACTCAGTTCGAAGCGTGAAGAGTCTGGCATGGCACACCACGCGTGAAGAAGTCTCGCGACCGTTAGTTGTCTCGCGGTCTCGAGGCAACTACTCTCACCTGGAGTTCTGCAGATCCTGACGCACAAGATCCTTCGCCTGTAGGGCGCTTGTTGCACGCAGCCGTGATGCATCCGAATGGATCCATGTGGATCGTTGGTGGACAAGACGGCAGCAGTAGCCTCAGAAGGCTGACGTTAAAATCGAGAGGAAGCAGAGATGATGGCCTGCGGCTCAGGTTCTTTGGATGACGTCTGCTACTTCAACACCCAGGCGAACCCCCTCTGGGCCCCTCATCTTTCCTGGTTTTCGGTTCTTTTCTCATCGGATCGCTCCGACATGGACCTGTCGCCAGACCCGTCCACGCACTTGGACGTGTCCCACGACGCGTGGATTCGGCCCCTCCGGGCGCTATGGCCATAGTGCGGTCTTCGACCCCAATGCGACCAAGATCTGGATCTTTGGTGGGCAAATCCACACGAGTAGCCGTAGCCTTAGTGCACTTAGCAGGTGGATCGTGGGTAGCCTTAGATGTTTGAAGCCTCTGCAGAGGGTCCACAGTTCTTTGAAAATCTGTCCTTTTGGACCACCGGTCAGGCTATCTGGATGATGTTTATTACTTGGACTTCGAGGCGCTGGACAGGTTCTTTTCTTTTTTTTCCATAGAGACTTTTGGATCATGTATACTAGGCTCTGATGAGTTGGTACCACGTCACTCCATCTATGCCTCGGCTATGCTCCACAACTCCTATCTCTCTGGAGTCTAGTATAGGAGAAGGGAGAAACGTCATACCCAACTAGACCCAAGTGCAGCAATCACGTTGTTCGCTTAGCCGCTAAAGCCTGCACATTCTGCGTGATGGTCTCCTTCAGTGGCTGGGATAGTTGGGATGGCAAAAGATGGGAAAGTCCAAAGGGATAGCTGACGTTGTTGCCTTTTGTAACATTTGGCAAGTTGCTGCAATTGCATTTGTGGCAGACATGTTGGATCATGCTGCTGCTTTTGTTGTGGCGTCGATTTTTTCCAGATAGCGAAGCTATGGGGTTCTTACTTCAAATAACAATGAGTTGCCAGTGCGCGCTTTCGAGACAGATTGCTGGTGCTGGGTGCCGGGTGCCGGTGCCGGTGCTGGTGCTGTGAGCTGGCTGTGCACGTGGTGGAGACAGGTTGCTGGTGCCGGTGCCGGGTGCCGGTGCTGGGTGCCGGGTGCCGGGTGCCGGTGCTGTGTCATGTTTGTGTTCCTCCATGTTCAATGTTGGCTCCGATTTGTGCGATATGGCTGAGATGCTTCAAGATTCAAGACAGGTTCCCTTGCAGAGCTTGTTCTTCACCCAAAGCAGAGTGAAACCGCAGAATTTGCGTGTCATTCGTGCGAAAAGTCCCACTGTGCAGACCGGATTCCGATGTGAGGTGCTCGGGTCCCTGTGAGGCTACCACTACGACCTCCACAACGTCGCAGTCGCGCACCACAACGTCTTCTTCGACATCTTCCTCCAGCTCCTTATCCACAAGTTCAATAACCACCAGCTCCAGCAGAACCATTTCAGGCGCAATTGTTTCTTTCCGCATCCCTGGTCACAGTAAGATAGACACCGAAAACTCTGGCGTAGGCACCGGTTGTGCAAAGAGACTTCCAACACTGTCTATATTATAGGTTTGAGGTTGGTAGTGGCAACCCTCAAGCAAAGTCCCTCTCGAAGTGAACTTGCTCTTCTAGTAGTTCGTGAACAAAAGTGGTGCGGCCTTTTCACACCATCGCGGCCATGGCTCTAGTGCACAGTGCATGCCCACCCATCTAGGATGGACACAAAAGGGAAGGTTCAACGAGGGGCGGTTCCGGCCCAAGTTGCGGGAGTCGCTCAAGCATGTATAGTTCAAAGTCGACGGCGTCGAATTCACACCGGTGGAAGGTCCAGCTTGAGCGCTCTCTTCGGAGTTGTGGGCAGCGTATGCAATCTCTGCTGCATTCAAAGCTGCTTCTGCGGCCTCTATGGCGGCAGTTTCTACTCCAAGCCAGTTTTCTCCCAGTGTATGGGAGCATTCTTTACAGGGCCTCAGGGTGTAGGTCACGTTGGCAGTCCTCTGGCTGGCACATTGGAAGGAAGCGTGCCAGCATGCACCGTGGTTCGTGTGGTGCACGTCAGCGAGGATCGCAGCACGAACTCTGTTTCGCGCTCTCACTTTCACTTCTTGCTCATACATGACCCTCATCTTCTCGAACTGCCGATCGTGAAGTTCACGATGGGCTTTCATTTCTTCTTCATGTTGGGCCTGCAAAGTTCTGTAGGTCCGCTCGGCTTGTTGGAGCTTGACTTGGAGGCTGTCCACCGTCCTTTCCAGCTCTTCTTCCTTCTTCCTGTGGTTGACCAGGGTGGTCAGGTCGCTGTAGCTGGTTTGACTTGTTGCGTCATTGAGGTGACGCGTTCTCACCTGCCGGTTGGTGAAGTAGTTCAGGGCCATGTTCACCAGCAGGGCTACCATGACGGTGAAGACAGTGAGGAAGGTGAAGTTCTGGTAGTCCATGTTGTCTGTTGTTGGTTCTGTAAGGTTTGTGGAGTGCGCAGTTGTTGTGGTTGCTAGAGAGACTAGTAGTGCTAGCTGTGCCGTTGGCTTTGTCACTGCATAGCGCATCTGGCTGCTCTTGCGCTGTTCAACTGTTTTCTTCTTTGCTGCAGTGAAGTTCGGGTCTGGTCGTAGGCATGTTATGTGGCTGCGTAGTCGTTGTGCTAAGAGTGCTGCAGCGCTGTGTTTTGTCATGCCGTCGGCGAATTGAAGGTCGCTCGATACCAAGGCTATGGATGCTCCTGTGCAGGACAATTTGTCCTTGGTCACTAAGACCTCGATGCTTGTTTGTTTGTCTGTCTGTGATCCTGTCTGTAGGTCTTGCTTGACCAGCAGGTCGTAGAGAGCTTTTGCATCGATCACCATCTTTGGTGGGCGCTGGAGCTTTGCCATGTTGCTGTCTTGTAGTGCTAGGTATGGTGACCAGATTAGCTTCCAAAAGGCTGCTGCGTAGAGGAGTGAGTCAGCAGTCTCTGATGCAGCTTGGCTTTCTGCTGCGAGGCTTGACCTTGCTACCCTTGGCAATTTCCATGATCGCCAATCGATCAAGTGGTAGCTTCCTTCAGCTCCATTGGTCACATCTTTATGGACCATGAGGATCAACTGTCCTCCTTGGGAGGTCAGGTCGCTTCTGGAGGCGAAGGCGGCATCGCTGTACCCAATTAGGGTCAGCTCTGAGGTTGGTCCAAGCTTTTGGTACTTGAGTCCCACGTCGGAGTAGCTCTTGGCGTACCTGAGACATTTGTTTGCTTCTCGCAGAGTGGCCAGTGTGGCCTTGCTCACCTGGCCTGCCAAGTGGCTCACCATTGCCTGTAGATGTGGACTGCTTTGTGTGGCTGGCCATTGTAAGGCTCCTATGGTGGCTCTGAGCATGGTCCTCTGCTTGTCGGTGACTGGCTGAGTGTCCGGACCATCTTCGAAGCTGATAGGTTTCAGCTTGGAGAAGTACTTGCTGTGGTGAAGCTCGTGGTGGTGTTCGTTGAGCCTGTGGATGGTGGCTCCACAGTAATCCATGTCGGTGTCTTGTTCCCATGTCCTGAAGTTGAAGGTTTTCTTCAGTGACTTGAGGAAGGCTTGGAAGCTCTTGTTGCGCATGTTGCCACATCCTAAGATGTCATCCACATGTAGGCCGAATAGGCCTGTCAGTGGTGGGTGCTTCACGTTGTTGCCGTTGTCATCGGCTTGTGTGGTCCATGTGTCTTCGGGCGCATCGTAGTCGTAGGTCATGAAGAGGCATGGGTCCAGTGGATGGACAATGGCGCCAAGCTTGGTGATTCTTTCTCTTGCTTCACTGTACCAAGCTCTTGGGGCGTCACATAGGCCATACATAGGCTTCTTCAGTCTCATCAAGGCCTTGTCGCCATCTTTGTCGTTGATTCCCAGCAGGCGTCGTGCGTCTGATGGAAGTTTGATCCACAAGGTGCGATGGCTGGGATGTTCTTTTCCTTGTAGGAAAGCTGTGCTTGCTGACATCGGCACTGAAGTTGGACCATCCTGTATTTGCACAAATGGACAGGATGTAGTTCCTTCCGATGCGGCTCAGTGTTGGTGAGTCGGTGCTTAGCTGTCCGCTGAGGGCATCTGGGTCTTTGAGCCCTTGTGTGATCAATCGTGCCTTTGCACGTGGCTTTGCATTTGGCCAGTTTGTCCACTTCAGAATGAAGTGTGCCTTCAGGATGCGGTCTTGTGGGGTGGATCCATCATCAAGGATCATCTCCCAAACGTCGTTCTGGAAGAAGCCTTCTAGTTCCTTCTTCTTAGCTTCCATGAACGCGAGCCTATCGGCTACAGTCATCTGGCGTTCATTGAGTTGGTCTTTTCTTGTTTTGCCTGCTGCAGCTGCTGTGTAGCTGTGTTCTGACTGTTCTGTTGGTAGCTCGATGTAGGTCTGATGACCTTGGCTTGCATTGTAGAATGCTTCCTTGGCCAAAAGGCGGAATGTTGGCAGGACCTTGAAGACAGTGCGTCCGGTCCAGCTGTGTGTTGTTTCTTCATCTTTCTTCTGTTTCCAACGGTCATACTTGTTGATGTTTCCTGTGCCCACTGTTTGTCTGTCCTTGCTTAGGTAGTGTGTCGGCAATGGACAGTTTGCTCCTTTGCTGGTTGGGTCAAACAGCTTGTGCCGTGGGAGGTAGTGTCGTCTGACCAGGGTCAAATACCCATTTTCCAGTTTCCAGCCTGAAGAGGCAAAGTCATGTTGTCAGCCTTGGTGAGGTCTGCGTCATAGGTGCTCATGGTGAGCGCTTCTTCTGGGTCTGGTGCCTTGGGCTTGCTGTATGGTGACGCCCTCAAGGTCTCAAATGGCTCTTTGTTGGGGCCATACCTCACCTTGTTGTCGGTGGGTGTGTAGAATGATAGGGTTTCCTGCTTGTCATATCGGCTCCTTCGTTCTCGGAAGGATTCCTGTCTTCCTGGTGTGTTGTACACTGCTTGCTGGTGCTCTGGGATTGTCACTTGTTCGTCGTATGTTACATCTCAATCTCCCAGGACACTTGGTGGTGGCTCTGGTTCTCCCGAGCTACTTGGTGGTCGTCCTGCATGTTCAGCTGGTGCTGCTGCTGTTGGATCACCTGGTGGCATAGCCGGTGACATGATGCCAGTAGTTGTGCTTCCAGTGGTAGGCTCAAGGTTGTTGCCATGTCCTTCTGTTCCTGCTGTTGGCGGTGGTGACGCCGTTGGTTGTTGTTCCATTTGTACATCATCATCGCCTGGTGGTGCTCGGCGGTCGGTGCGCAGGATGAAGGTGGTTGTTCCGGTCCATGAGAAGGGCATGCTCTTGGAGGCGTCAGGGAGTCGCCAATCATCTTGGAGCACGGTGCGGTTCCTCTGTGGTTGGCCTGGTCTGAGGATGGTTGTCCTTCTCAGATCTTGGAAGTGCTCATGTGGTGCTTGACTGTCACCTGATGGTACATATAGTGCTTGTCTTGGGACAACGTGTATTCGGTGCCATGTGATGCCATCTTCTTCTACGTCCCAATGGTCTTGTGGTTGTTCAGGTGCAGTTGCTGTAGTGGTCTCTGGTGGTGCTGGTGTCATCTCTGTGTCATCTTCATCTTCTGTGACCACTTCAGATCTCTTGCGCTTGTTTGTCTTTTGCAGATCTGTGTACAGAGTGGTGCTTCTGCCTCGGATCTGGTCGAGAGCATTCTTTGCTCGGGTGATAGGGTCAGTGTCGTCTTGGTGGTTGAGATCAGGGCGCAGGTGCTCGCCACTGACTCGAAGCAGTGTTGTGCCGTGTGTGACCCAGTATGTGTTTGTTGCAGGACCTGTTCGTCCTTCTTCAGTCATCACCACTGTTGCTGGGCCCTTCCAGCGTAACTTTGGTCCAGCTCCTCCTGGTGCGTCTCGCTAGTAGAACACTCGTTGGCCTGTGTGGTACACATATTGGATGGCCTGGTGCTGTCTGAGGAGGGCTCTCCTGAGTCGGGCGTCATTGTCTGCTTCAATGACTGCTATTGCTGCTTGCTTTTGCAATGTCAACTTTTCTTGCATGGCCTCACTTGGAGTGAGTTGGGCTGGAGTGACATCGTGGTCCATCAACACTCCTGGAATCCTGGGCTGTGCGCCCATTGGGTGGCACTGAAGCCTTGGACATTGGGAGTATTGTTTATCTGTGGTATCACGTAGTTCAGCGCTTGGATGATGCGCTCTCTGTGTGGCATGTTTGGGTCATGATCTGTCTGCTGGCGGCGATGTGCAAGGAACAATTCGATACCCCGTCGGAGTACCTGGTGCCGTCGTTCCACGATGCTCAGCCGGGTGTGTGCCTGGCCGGGTGAGATTTCCAGCTCGGTGCCGTGATCACTTGCCCAAGTTCTGAGCTGTTCGGATGCCCATCCCCGGTGGTCGTCTACCTGCAGGATGGTGGGTGGTCCGAAATGTCTTGTCCAGCCTCGTTCGATGGCTCGTAAGAACTCGTCGGATTGTTCACCTTGGAGGACTCTTGCCGACGTGAATTGGGTGGTTGTGTCCACAATGCTGAGGACTGGAATTGCCTGTGGCTTCTGCTTGCAGTGAAAGTGGCCTGACGGATTGATCCAGACTGTGTCTGCCTGGATGCGGCTGTTGAAGCTGCCACCGGTCCTCAAGGTGCCCTTGGATGTCTGTGGTGGCGGCCTGTGTGCATCACACAGCTGACAGGTGTGTTCTTGTGCTGCATGAAGTATCGATGCACTTGCTTGCTTCTGTTTGAGAATCTTGCACAGTTCAAGGTTTTTAGGATGGCCAAGGTTCCTGTGCAATCTCTGGACAGTTCGCTTAGCTGCTGCGAGCTGTGTTTCTTGTAGTCGTGTCAGGATGCCACTGTTGTTGCCCAGTTCCTCGATGTCATACTTGTCCTCTGCTGTTGCAGGCTGTAGCTGTTGCTCTGCAGCGGCGGCTGTTGTTTGTGGCTGCAGCTGTTGTTCTGCTTCCGCTGGATATGCTTGTTCATCTGCGTCGTACGGCCAGTAGTTGTGATGCATGAAGTCGTACAGAATGCTGGCCCATTCTCGGCACATGTTGGCATTGTAGCTGCCGGCTGCTGCTGCACGGTTCCCAATCAGGGGCGAGCTCCCTTCAATGGGTAGGTGGTAGTGCTCGTCGGTGCAGACTCGATGCAGTTGTGATGCTAATGGTTCATGGGTGACTCTCAGTGTTGTTGGCTTTCGGATGTATTGCTCGTCACCGTTGTTGTCTGGCAGTGTTGCTCCATATTGGCACTGGTCGACGTGAGCGTCGTAGCCTTCTAGCTGTTGTAGTGTTAGTGTTTCCCAAGAGGTAGCGTACTTGGGGTGTTCGAAGATTGAGATTCGATCTTGCTTGTATTGCTTGTTGTGTATTGTCTTGCTGAACCTCAGGTGGGTTCCTTCTTCATGCTGCTGTTGTGCTTCGAGGCGCTGTTGCGCTGCAGGCGTTCTGGCGTTCAATCTTTGGAGTGGTGACCACTTGGTGCAGGGTGGTGCTAGCCATGTGATTTCTGGGCTGCAGTGGTAGTACAGCTGGATGAACTCGCGCTGGTGGGCTGGCTTGGTGAAGTCCCAGCCACTGAGGAGGTCGAAGGTTCTGACCTTGAAGCCGAGTTCTTGCATCTTGGTCGCCAAAATGGCGTCTCCAGCATAGATCTCCCAGAACTGCATTTCGTGTTTGGCGTGTGATGCCAATGCTTGTTCAATGGTCATCTTATGGCGTAGTGCCATGTGTTGTTGGTGGACTCTGAAGCTTCTGACCAGTTTGTCGGTCAGGGTGCGCCTGTAGCAGGTGTTGGTGTCATCATCGTCGTCCTCTGGGTCAGAGGTCTCGTTGCTGTCAGTGTCGTTCTGTTGGTTCTCCTGTGTGTGCATGGCTTGTTCCTCCTCCAAGTTCGGGGGAGGGAGACCAGTGAGCTCCAAGTAGTGCTCAAGAGTGTAGGTCTCTGTTGCAGTCGTGCTGGCTTGTTGTGTCACTGCCTGGAAGGTCTCTTCCATCATGAAGTCGAACTCGTAGGAGCCGTTCTCGGGGATTGACTCCAATCCTTCATCAAGTTGCAAAAGATGTTCTCCGCGAGGGCCCATCGCAATCTTCTTCCATGGGGAGCCATCAACGCTCATGGTGTCCTCAAGGAAGTTCAACTGAATCTTCATGGCCTTCAAGATCGGTCGGCCAATGAGCAGCGGCGTTGAGCCGGACACCACAAAAGCTTCTGCACGGCCAAGGCGGCCTTGTACGCACACGGGCATGTGCACAGTCCATTGTGCTTCCATGGTGCGATCACCTCCGAACTGCATTGCCTTGGTGGCAGGTCGGAACTTGAAGCAGGAGACGTCGATCTCCTTGTGGAAGTGCTCGATGTAGTTCATCAAGGTGTCGTGGCCCAAAACCATGCAGCTGGCTCCTCCATCCATGGTTCCAAAGATTCCCTTGGGGAGTGCTTGGACGTCCTTCATTTCGAAGTTGACCATGAGTCCTTGTTCAGGCTTGCTCTTCTTGGCAGCTGATGAGGTAGGACTGGATGTAGGGCTGCGCATCTGAGTGCATTGCGCTGCAAAATGGCCTGGCTGGCCACATCGTAGGCATGTCTTGGTAGCCGAAGAGCTCGACAAGGCTGCTTTTCCGCGACTTTTGGCATCTCCCTTCTGAGGTGTTGAGGTGCGATGAGCTTTGCCTTTTCCACCCTTCTGACCTTTTCCTTTTCCACGAGGAGGTAGAGGTCGTTGTGAAGACGATGGAGTCGATGGAGTGCCTTGGTCAGTCAAAGCGACGACCGGGTAGAAGCCTCTATTGTTTCGAAGCTCAGCGAATCGTCTTCGTGCGTCCAAGTAGGTCGCATAGCATTCTTCCCATTCGGGGTCATCAAAGTCAGGGTAGTCGTCCTCGTTGTAGAGGAGCAGCTCATCATCTTCAGGGTCGTAGGTGTCCTCACCCTCATAGTAAACATTCTCATCATCAGGGCTTTGTTCAAAGCCGAAGGGATCTTCTTCAGCCTCATAGGCCTCTTCTTCATAGTTGTCCTCATCGTAGGTGATGTAGGCCTGAGAGGTCTTTCGCCAATTGTTGTTCTTGCCCTTGGAGTGCTGGTGGTTGTTGTATCGAAGCTGAGGTCCGACACGTCCTCGGTAGTCCTGGCCGAAGAGGTAGTACATGGCCTCCTCAACCTTGCTCTCCTCGACGGTCGCTCCACACTGGCTTTGCACCAGTTGTTTCTGTTCTTGCGTCAAGCCACTGCGGCGGAGCATCAACCATCCGGTGACCTCGGATGGCAGCTTGATGTTGTGTTTTTCCACTTCACGAAGGGCTTCTCTGTGTTCCGCGCAGTACGACATGAGAGTTTGGTCGCTCCGGCGGCTCATGCTATAGAAGAACCTCTCGAAGCTGCGTGGTTGTTCGACGCGGCTGTCGTAGCGGAAGGTCTTGTCCATGACTTCCATGATCATGTTGAAGCCGTCTTTGTCCTCACTCGCCTTCTCGGCGATGGGTTCCACCTGTTTCCATGCTGTTCCGCTCAAGGTGGTGAGCAGGTTGATCACACCTTCCTGCGGTTTCTTCTGCAGGATCATCTTCTTCTGGTACGAGTGGATCCTGGCTCTCCACTCCTTGTAGTCAGTGGGTCGGTTGCTGAAGACCGGGACCCATGAGTCCTTTGAGGCGTCCACGCCTTGCGAACTTGCCATAGCGCTCGTCAATCTCGAAGCAGCAAATCAGCAGCGGGCCCCGTCAGGGGCTCCGCTACCAATTTGAGGTTGGTAGTGGCAACCCTCAAGCAAAGTCCCTCTCGAAGTGAACTTGCTCTTCTAGTAGTTCGTGAACAAAAGTGGTGCGGCCTTTTCACACCATCGCGGCCATGGCTCTAGTGCACAGTGCATGCCCACCCATCTAGGATGGACACAAAAGGGAAGGTTCAACGAGGGGCGGTTCCGGCCCAAGTTGCGGGAGTCGCTCAAGCATGGCCTTAGTTCAAAGTCGACGGCGTCGAATTCACAATAGGTTTTTAGGAATCTTTCAGTTGAACCTGGCTTGGGAGATGGGCCTTTTCTTGCATAAGATGATGTTTTTTCTTTCAGAGCTTAGTCTTCAATAGGGCCTGTCCATTTTGAACAGCAATTCTTTGGCCCATCTCTCGTTTTGTGCATTTTTGCAGGTTGTATTTTTGCACTTGCCAATGGACGCAGAGTCTTACTTAGCTTTGCTGTGTGGACAGTTGAGAGAGAGAGAGAGAGAGACTAGAATCGCCAAGAAAGAAGAATCAAATTGGCTTCTTGCAGCTGTGTTGAAGATCTCTTGGTGTGGGAATATGCAAGAACCTCGTTTGCCACGTACTTATTCATTTGGTGGGTGGGCAGGACGTTCCGCGGAGCGTTCGCCGCGTAGGCGATCCAGCGGAACGACTGCTCCAGCTGAAGGAGCAGCAGGCCCATGGGAACGGTCAGAACAGCTGAAGAAACCACGCGGGCCATGGCCCGTGTGAATCGTTCTGTTTCCCCGCGGACGACCGAGCCAGCGGGACTGCGTCAGGATGCCAGCGTGCTGCGCGTCTCGGCTTGGCTGGCGCAAAGCGATGACGTGGGGCCGATCCTCTACAACGAGACATCGCAGGCGAGGCTGTCTGCGGCGTCTGAGACTGGTTGTTTGTGTTTCCACACCAGTGCAAGGTCTGCCCAAGTTGGCCCGCGAGATTTTTTCTCACCCTTTGAAAGCAAAATCATGAAGCTAGTAGAAAAAGTGGAACATATTCTTTTGTTTTGCCATACTCTTTTTGGCTTGAAACTTTGTACCAGATGGTTCTTCTCGGAAGCATTTTTCCTGTTTCGCAGAGTTGCTGCAGGGTGCCAATGGCGAGGTGCTCGTCACCTATGCAATTAAGGTACCTCCAGACAACTCCAGCGTATCACTGGACCTTGAGATGACCAAGATCTTAGTGCCGGCATCGACCCTAGTGGTTGCTTCAGAACATTGCCTAAAGATTCCTTGAAGCCACTTGCAAGCTAAAGAATAGAGCTGAGCCAGCCACACCCGCCAGATCCCACGCACGCCCCAGGCCTTGTTGATCAAGCAGTTGCAGAACCACTCGAATCGCAGCGGAGCGATCGTGTCCGTGGCCTCTATCCCGGCCAGTTCCATTGTGCCCTGGCCTTCATCCCGTCCACGTCTGCCGAGAATCGTGTGGTCGTGCTGCTTTCTTTGGACAGGTCTGCTCGTGTTCTCGTGGTACTGCCAAGAGAGAATGCACGCAATGATATTCATGCCTGTTTGTCCTATAAAGAACATATGTTACATATGATACAAGCATCTACTCGTAGCATGCCCCGAAATGACGTGAATGATGTGGTTTGAGTTTTAACTCTTGACTATTCCTGGCGCGTCGAGGTTGCCAAGCTTCTTGTGAGGGACAACGAGACCAGACTGCAGGGTGATCTGGTGTGTCTCGGCGCAGAAGTTGCTGTGTCTGACGTAGTGTGTTGACTTGCTTGTTCGGCTCAGGAACTTTTTGGCCTACAATTCTGATGGAGTCCTGTCTGAGGATATTTTCCAAGAGCCTGTCAAGAATCTTGGCTTCCAAGTGCTCATAGTCACAAGATGTCACATCATGATCTCAACCAAGGGGCTAACTGGGACTATTTGCTTATATAACTTATATATATATATATTTTATATACACATCTTGACAGCATGTGATAGATTGAATGATGCATTGATCGGTTCATTGATTGCGTCAGGATTGAATTTCCTCCCTCTCCTCGCCGAGTGCAGCAGCGTGAGGATTGTACCAGGGACCCACTCGAGGTGGGGAATCGACGCGCACTGCCCATCTGGGCGGCACCGATGGCGGCGACGTCGCACGTGCGCCGTTCGTTCGTGCCGCCGTTCGGTTGCAGGTCTGTGTGGGTGTGGACCCGATGACTTCGGTGCGAGAAGAGGCGCCGCCCGTGGGTGCGGGCACCTGCGCCCTGGAGCATCTTGGCGAGGACAAAGGTGGATGAGAAGGGCAGGCTGAGCTAACAAAAAGAGAAAAGAAGAAAGAAACCTTAATAGGGATAGCCTCCAACCTACTAGCGACAGCCTCCATCGTAAGAGCGATTAGATGGGGTTGTGGCGGTTTCGGGCTTTCATTTTGACTCGTCTTGATTATCCGCCTAAAGGGAGATTCCATGTTAACGGATCTCCATTTTGGATGTCTGAATCAAGAGTCAACATTGAAGGGGAGCAGAAAACACTCTTTTGTCTTGCTGGATGCTCAGCTGTTTTTCTCCGCTGAGGAAATTCTTGTTAGTGGGTTTGCTCGTGGACACGCTGGAGGAGAGTCGTCCGGACGAGGCCTTTTTGGCCACTTGGCGTCTTGCGATGGGGTCGTGCCACGTTTCTTTTTTTAAATATTTGCTTTCCATGACCACAGTTTTGTGACCAAAAGTATATCACAGTCAGTCATTGTTTTTTTGTATATCCAAGCTTTTGTGACCAAAGTTTTGCAAAAACAGCTTTCTTCTGGTCCTCTGTGCCCCAAACAACTTTGCTGCAAGTGTTCGGTCCGGTTTGTCTTGGTCATGTAAGAGTTTCACAGATTAAGCTAGGTGGCATGGTGGACCGATATGCAATGGGCATTGAATTTGCGCGCGATCATCATTTGGGTGCCTTGGTCCACAGATGCTCAAAGAGTTTGTCTCTTATGTTTTAGGATGCCCTTCTCCGTTTTAGGATGCTGCTGACTCGTGAGGTCACGGTGATGGTAATGGCGATTCTGTTCTGCTTGGCAAGAAGAGCTGATCAAAGGCATGACTCAGCCCTGAGCGAATTGAGAAGAGATGTGGACGTGGAGACCGCAACGGATTGTGACCTGAATGTTGTTCAGACACATCCCTGGGATGGTCGTTCCTGTTCCATCCAAGGGGTGTGTTCCTATTTTTTGGGGGCGGAGAAGAGGCAATCTGATGCACAAAAAGGTGGTCTGCCCGAAGACATCCGTCAACAGCTGGCTGCTCAAGCTGAGGCGAAAGGAAGGCCTTTCGGAAGCGAAGGGGGAGGACGGACCAGTTCAGGCATGCGATCATACAGAGGGTGGTTGAAAATGAGATAGGCGGGGATGATGATTTGGGGGAAGGTCATGATTTTGCTTGCCGGATTTGCATGATGAAGACATTTGGCGGGTAGGGTGGATGCAGGTGTAGGCGTTGGCTTCTCAGACGAGCTGGACAAGTATCCGCCTGACACTGTTGCTTGGCCAGGTTTTGACTAGTGCCTTTGCAATGCTTTTTTCTGAGTGTCCTGGGTGTTTGGTCCCAGAGCAGAATCAAATACCAGATCTCCAACACGCCCATTGCTATTGTAGTTGGAGCTAGTTGCTACCTCGCGGCATGTGTTTTCATCTTGAGTTGTGGTTACCGCACTTGTCTCTTCACCGCCAGTGAGTCAGGAGTGGCACAATACACACAATGAAGTTCGAAAGGATTTCCTTGGCAGACAAGACGTCTATGGAGGCCTTTTCGGACGCTTCCCAGCTTTGCCCCTTGCTTACAGAGCGGTTACGAAGCGGTTTCCTGAGCGAACTGGGAGCGGTTGAGGCGTCCCGTTTTTTCCATCTGCGATTCCCTATTCAGTGCCAGTGAAAGATGGCCACCATTTCATACAGGTCAGGGTAGGTCCGCCATCATGATCCAGTGGGCTTTACACTGGTCCTGTGTACAAGGTATGTGGCCTGCTTCGGCTGCCGAAGCATTTGGTTGCCCTCATTCCCACAGACCTCGAAGCAGCGCTGGGCCGTGTTGTCTTGCGCGATCTTCGGCAGTGGCTTGAACAGCAAGAGAAGACCAGGGCTGAGGACTTAGGGGATTCAAACAAATCCAGGGTGTTTTTTTTTTTTAAACGAAACCCAGTTCTCAGCAACCACTATTAGATGAACAAACTGACTTTGAAGGATGAAGCCATGTGACTCGTCTTTTCCATTTCACTTGTGTGATGTGCACCTGCTTGTCATGCCACATCCCCAGTCACATCGCAGGCATGGCGGCCGCCGCCCTGCTACGCAATCAGGCGGACTCAGGAGCTCCGATCCGATTTCGCGGCCGATCCGCGCCACGTGGTCTTTCCGCGCCGCGAGGAGCCACACGGTGGGAGGTGATCACCCCCGTGTCGGTGTGCATTGGCCATTGTCCGCTCTATGCTTTGCTGGCAATCCAGACACTGTTCTGCAGGGCTGAATGTGGGGGGGCCAATCGCCGTGGGTCGACAAGGAAGGAAGATAAGGAGCCGATATTTCGGCCGAGAGCAGGCATAGGCGAAAAGAGGTTAAATTTTTCAGGCCGAGCAGCCTGGGTAGCCTTGTGAATGCAGGTGGAATATGGGAAAGGACAAGGCAAGGTGGGGGCCAGAAGGGATCCTTTTCCGTTCACACAGGTCTGTGTGTTTTCGTATCCAAACTGAAATCTGGGGCCTATGCCAGTGAATGGTTGCAAAAAAGAGATCAACAGGTTGTGACCGGCACGTGTGTTCCACAAAATTGCATGAAACTTTTCCGTTGTTTCACCTGCCCTTCACTTCTTTTCAGCCAAGGACGTTTTGCCTCGACGAGAAGAGACATGTTTGGCTGGTGGTTTTCTGGTTCATCACAAGCTCCTTCAACCTGCTAAGCATCCATATTGTCCCGAGCTCAGAGGAGGTGAGAGAGCAGAACGACTGGCAGGAACTTGCCAGGTCCTCAAGACTGGCATAACTGGCGCTACTTTGCACATGGTTTGTTGGGATTATGGAGGGGGACCTTCTGACAGTTTTGGTTTGTTTATCTGAGATCTGCGGGTTCCTCTACAGTGAATGCAGCATGGGCGTGATTGACGGCTGGTTATCGTGGCAATTCTTTCTGCACATCCTTGGAATCCAGATTTTGCCGTGAGCTCAATGGGCACGGCAAACCACTGACTGAGAGTTGAGCGCAAGGAAAAGCAATCTGGCTTTCTGTCTCAAACGAGGTTGCCAGCCTGCTATGTGCCATCCTTAATGTAAGAAAGGGTTGACCTTCAGAAAGAGCTTGAAAATACCCGTTTGGAGCGTTTTTTCCTTCGCAACACAAGTGAGCTAATGCATTAGTGCATGGTACGCAGAACTTTGAAAGGGAACTCGACCAATCCTCTGGACGGCTTCACCAGGCGATGTTCCTCTTGACCTTGCTGCCGAGCTCTGACAGTGATGGCGATGATGGCACCTATGTGACGCGCATCTCCCCAACATTCTCAGCCCCCCCCACCCCCAACAGCTTACGATCCTCGCCCAGCTTCCGATCCTCGCCCAGCTTCCGATCGTCGCCCAGCCTCAGAACCTCCAACAGCTTCAGAACGCAGACGTCCAAGACCTCCTGCGGAGTAAGTCCCAGCGCAAGTCCGAGACATGAGGCCGAAAAGCCGGAACTGGCCATGTTCTCCGCGCGCTTCGACGGAGGGCCCGTCGAAGTGCTGATGCGCGAGGTGTATAGGATTTTGAAGGTCCGAGGATATGAGGTCCTCATGGTGGACGCCCACCTAGGGGATAATTTCGGAATGATGACCAGCGCCTACTTGAACAAGCTCTTAGAGAAGAAGGGCAGAAGCGTGATGCTTGCGGTGTGTACGCATGACTATGCTGAGATCACCTCATCTCAGTACAGCAGCAACAAAGAACTGACCTTTGCCCACGAGAATCGAATACCAATCTGGCCATTAAGGGTTGATGATATCTATCCGCCGGAGCCGCCCAAGAACCACTTTGACCCAGATGGAGCGGCAGCTGGCCTGGTGCAACTAGCCCTTCCTCCAAGCCTTTTGTATGAGGATTGTCGTTTTAAGAGTGCCGATCAAATTGCCGATGTGCTTGGAGCGAGACTGAGACACCCGTCCGCTGTCCGGCTGCCCAGTACAGTGTGCGTGCCCGCTGCGCCAGTGGGGTTGGAAGCAGCAGTTGATGGGGTCTACGGTCAATGGGTGTCCTGTAAGACCTGTGGGAAGAAGAAAGCTAACTTGAAGATTCAGTCATCCAGTGGGTGAAGGTCTTTTAAACGAAGGATGATGGTACTTGTACACCAAATCTCTGAAGTGACCTGGCCCGTGACCGGTTTACTGGGATGCACAGATCTCAAATCATGAAGGATCATTAAATGGAAAACCTACCTCTTTGATCCCTTGCCTAGGCCAGGACACTGACTGATGTAGATTGACACGAGATCCGGCAGGCGTCTGTGGGGACAATCATTCGGCTGGGTGGGCCAGTGGGAAGGGTTCATGGACACTGTATGGGTGTGAATTCAAATAGGGAGCCTCCCAAACACCGCCTGAAAGAAGGACAATTGATTAAGCATTGACCGTCAAGTCCCTTGGTTGGTGGTCTCCACCGAACTGGTGTCAACCTTCCGGGTCTTTGTTTAGTTTCAGGATGCGCTTCTATTGATTTATCACTGTAGAAGTTGAGAAGGCAGATTGCCACATGCTTGGTGCCTCAAAGGCCCCCAGACTCCAGACCTCTCAATTGACACTCTGGGCAAAACAGCAGCTGAAGATGTGCGCCGACGACGCCGCGAGGACGCTGCCTGAGGGCTGCAAGGAGCATGCTTGCTTCTCCGAGTCCCAGCTCCAACTGTCAGGACGAGGCTCTCCATGCTGGAGCTTTCTCCTTCTTTTCACGTCGTTCTTCGGCAAGAATGGGCAAAGAACGCAAAGTAATGACATTGTGGGGCGTCGGAACGGGGCCAGAATACTTGCTTGACTTTGCTGCAGAAAGTGCTTTTGGAAACCTGGTTTATCGCCAATCATGGGATATTCCGCCGACCCCAATAAGTTATTTTGCGGTTGGCCAATTCAATGCCTAAGCTGCAGTGTTTTTGCTGTGAATTAGCCCGTGACCATGCATGCACGGCAACCATGGGTTTTTGGTTTGCGAAGGCAAGTCTAAAGAGGAACATTCCTCCGAATGTAAGGGTGAAGTTTTGTTTTTTCCTATGTCAACGTTTTGCTCTTATTGAAGCGATTTGGGAGCTTCGTGTTGGGGGCGTCCAAGCCCTCCGAGCGAAGCAGGTGATGGCAAGGCAGACCAAGCATTTCAAGCAGATGGAGATAACACGATCTGCCTAAAGTGAACCTTAAATAAACACATGGAAGCCCGTGAAATGTAATATGTTGACTGCCTGCAGTGGAATAATGAATGATAGTCGCCCGCTGTTCTTATTTAAACACTCAAGCACCGAAACCAACAAAAACCAACAAACACCGTGAAAAGGGACGATGCTAGGATTTCAAGGTCGGAAGACGCGCTCCGTGGGCCCTCCTTTTGGGACCCTCTGCCGTGCACGCGGTCCGTTGCGGGACCATTGCCCCGTGCGTTTGGCACGGCACAGCGACGCACAGTGACCCGTCAACATCCAAAGGATGGTGTTTTCCCTCTGTGTTTTACATGCGAATTTTTTATCGGTTTAAAGCATGCAGAGTCCACATGAAACTCCTCGAGTATCTGCAGAAAGCCTTCTCGCAAAAAGAACATCGTGAGCTCAATGGATCATGGCCTTGGCTGTGCTTTCGTGCTTAGTCCTCTTTCAGCTTTTTGGTCATATTTCGCACTACATGCTCAGCATCTCATGGTCACTTGCTTGGGCAAGCCAGATTGTACATCTAGTCAGCCAACACAATGGTTCAGGCTAACATAGGCCTTAAAGTTGTGTTTGTTCATTGCCTACGTTCTTTGTCATTCAGCCATGGGAATGACACCGGAGTACGACTACTTGTTCAAGCTTCTGCTTATCGGCCGGGATCTTACGTGTCGTCTTGTACCTGAATCTTTTCATTATATAATTTCAGAAGCTCAAATGTACTTCGTTCGTTCGTTCTTCAAATTTGGCGTCCGCTTTCTGGTGTCGATATACTGCTTGGAGGTGATTCGGGTGTTGGCAAATCTTGCCTCCTGCTTCGGTTTGCAGATGACACCTACACCGAAAGCTACATTAGTCTGCCTTGCATGTTTTTGCATATTTTGGCACGTGCGGGCAGTGAGTGGAGTCAAGTTTCCACGCTATGTTGAAGGAACGTTCCTGCGGGTGGGCAGAATCACAGTTGTGTGGATGATGAGAGATGACCCATGTAGGGAAATACTTGCAAGAATTTCAGTCTTGTAGGCGAGGCCTTGAACATTGGCCTTATGAAAACAGTCGGACCAAAGCCTTGGCATCTTCGGCCTCGTGACGAACCTCGTGCCATGCTTTTGTTTTTGACTCTGCAGCCTCAACAGGTTCATGTTGAGGCTGTTTAAGGCTTTAGCCATCCACAAACACATCAAGCGCATGTTCGACGCCTTAGCGCTTTTGTGTGTTTTGGACCTGCGCGTTTCCGTGTGACCAATGCACGAGCAGCTCCCTGCAGCTCGTTCCCACGTCATGAACGTATCAAGCACTGCTAGGCACCATAGGAGTGGACTTCAAGATCCGAACCTTGGACTTGGATGGCAAGACGGTGAAGCTTCAGATTTGGGACACCGCTGGGCAGGAGATGGCACACGGTTCGAGCCACGCCGCTTTCCGGAACGACGACTTGGAAGAGCCGAGCGGAGAAGCAAGTGCTTCGGGCTCAGGAGTTCGAAGCAAGTGCTTCAGAAGTTCATGATTCCAGGGGGGAACTGCTCGATTTTTGCGATGAGCAACGGCTTTCCACATGTTTTTCATGTTCACATGTCATCCTCAAGCCGAACTTGATTCAGATTCCAACTATACATTCTTTCGGCCAGGGAATGTCGTTTCGGGTAAGTTTCCATAGATGCATCCCTGTCCCTCGAGAACCAATAATACAAGTGCAACAAGCGTATATATACAACCAGAAGAGAAACGGCCCCCTTCACAGACCTCACTTGGTGTGAAAGGCCACACTTGGTTTTCTGATCTCACGAAAGTCGTTATGTTGCAAAGGCCCAAGTCTTGTTGGGCACCGGATTTTGTCTGTAGAGTTTCAGGAAAAAGTCCGTTTCTTGCTCCTGCAAAACTTTGGCACACGGCTATTTGGCGATGGGTCCAAACCTGGAGCCCTGGTCCACCATAGGTCGACCAAGCTATCCTGATTTTGACCCACAGCCATTTGAGAACATTGGGTCGCATGGCAGAGTATGTGGCTTTTCTGGTCCGTTTGTTTTCCTCTCGTGCCATCCACGATCATTGATCTGGCATACCAAACAAGACCCTTTTTTCGGTTTCTGAGTCCCTGTCCCCGCTTCTTCCCCAGTCCCACCGGAGAGGAGAGGTTCCGGACCATCACCAGCAGCTACTACCGCGGTGCTCATGGCATTATCGTGGTCTATGATGTCACCGACAAGGAGCGTAAGAAGCACGAGCTGGCCAGCAAAGCGCCGGTCGGTCGGGTCTAACAATTGTTGGGATGGAAGTAGGAACCGAGCAAAAGAATTCACCGAATTTGAAGCCTTGTTTCTTTCTTTGTTTAGTTTGTTTAGAGTTTTTTTTGGTTGGTGAGCAACCTTTTTGTGATTTTGACCATCCCAGAGTTCCTAGCAACATCTACCTGTCTATTGAGGCTGAGCTGGCTTCAGGTTTCACCCTCTGCGGTGAACCTGGATTCTCGTTCGCTGCATGTCAAAAAGGATTCTTGTTCGCTGAATTTAGCAAAGCTCTCGCTTACCTTCCCAACCAACAGGTAGAGGAACAACCTATCGTCTTTCAAGCCCTCTGTGTGCTTCGCGGGTGACTCTGTTCATCTCTGTTCACCCTTACCTTGACGATGTAGACGTACAAGTTACGTTCTTTTGCCCAGCGGGACATTCTCACTGTCTAATCTCGCCCTTGGTTCTCATGGGCATCCGCTGTACCGCGTGGCGCAAGGAGTCCTTCAACAATGTGAAACACTGGATGCAGGAGCTGAACCCTGGGCCGATGGGACTGGGAATCGGATGTTGCTCCCATCTGAGGGGAATGATTCCTCTTGATTGGGAATCCTCATGACTCGAGGATTGGGGTTGGGAATGACCAAGCCTCTTTCAAAGGATTGGCAATCCATGGCAATCCCAAAGGACTACTGTGACCAGAAGACAATCATGACAATCACCATGGGGTCTGGCATCTGAACAGTTTTTCGAGTGCCTCAGAGTTCCACCAGCGGCCATGGCCAGCCGGGCAAATGAGCGAAGTGCTGGGCGAAAGCTGCGCATCGTTTTTTTTGCGTGCTGCGGTCGAGGTTAGGCCACTGCGGTTGGTGAGGTTAGGCCACATGCGACCATGTCGCAGTGAGTTCGTCCAGCTTGTTTCAGGGTCCCGGGCAGAGGATCTTAAGAACGCGGCCAGAGGATCTGACCTCCAAATCGGAACCGCAAGTGGTTCTCCTATTCTTTTCTTCCGGTCCAGTTTCTTGTTTTTATATATTTTTTAAATCTATTTTTGACTTGTTTTTGCAGGAGATTGACAAGTATGCAGCCGATGGTGTGAACAAGCTTTTGGTAGGCAACAAGCGCCTCGGTGTGGGTGTGGCGGCGTTCAGAGTCTGGATTGTGGACCGGTTCCCCTTTCAAAGGAAATGACTCAAGGAAAAGAAGGCAATCTGACATCCGAACTTCACACTAGCTGGGAGAATGCCTTTGAACAGATTCCAATGAATGAAAAGCCAAGCTCGCTCGATCAGGGAATTGCCCCTCCTTTTTTCGCAGACTGGTCATCTAACTAAACTAGTGCAGATTCTAAACTAGGCACCGCCTGTTAATGGAAGACATTGTCCTGCATATAGAAAGGTACCAGCAAAATATGAGTTCCCTACTGGTGGAAACCCCTTGCCATACTTGAAATTTGAATCCCCAAGGAACTCCAGTGGGCCCTCTCCTCTCCCCTGGGGAGGTGATGGACAATGACTCGATGAATGTTGGAAAGGGCATGTGAGTACTCATGCGCCCTTGGTGATTTTTTGAGGGCCTCAACTTGGTGACACAAACGGGTCACAAAGCGACTCTTCTAGGCTGTCACCAGGCTTGGAGGAACCACGAACACAAAGAACAAATGCTGTGGGTGCGGATTCTTCCCTTTTTCACAAACACCATGAACACACTCAGACCCTCAATCTCCAGGACCACCTGCGCGCCTCGAAGATGTTCTCTTCCAAAACGTGGTCAGGTCCGGTGCGTGGTGCAGTGGTGACTAACGTTTCCTTTCTTCTCACCTCACCAAACCGGCTTGCCCCCTGAAACCCAGGTTCTCCTCCTTCTTAGAGGACTTTCCCCCCACCCCATTCCTTCTTCCTTCCCACCAAAACACGCCCATTTCCTCCAGTTGTTCCCTTCCGACCCCCCAGGTGTGACTTGTCCTCCAAGAGGGTGGTCTCCTACGACGAGGCCAAGGAGTTGGCCGACTCCCTCGGCGCCCCTCGGTTCGGACGCGGCCGACACGGTCGGACACGGCACGCGACACGGGCGAAAGGCGCGGAAAAGGGGCGAACGAACCGGCACCGCTCGAAGGGCCGGAAGGGCCGAAGGGCCAAGTCCAAAAAGTGTTTGTTCTTTTCGGGGGAGATTTGGTTTTGGCTATAGCGGGTTAGACCAACAGCTGAAGAAGTGCAACAAAACAGTGAGATTTGGTTTTGGGGCATCGTGACGGGGTTTTGAGACGACGAGTCCATCGTCGTCGTCCGAGCCCATAGGGTTGATCGGAGAGAATGAAGTCAGTGAAGGTGAGGTCCGAGTTCGACAGCTCCACTCCAAGGTGCAATTCATGGAGACCAGTGCCAAGAATGCGCATAATGTGGAGCAGGTGGGATGTGTTCAGGATGTGCATCTGCAGCAGCATGAGGCTCTCAACAGCTTTGTCTCCACCTAGTGCCTAGTGTGCTTATGGGAAAATATACACCTGAAGTCTCTGGTGGTTGGCTTGGCGGCCATGCATGTTCTGCTTCTGAAGAATGTAGAGGGGCGTGATTTGACATAGGATCCCACCCACAAAGTGATCTCCTCAAGAAAATGGTGCAGTCAATGTTGCTGCAACGTAGGGTCAGTTGCGGAGGGTGCACGTACTCAGAAAACAGAAAACAGGTTCATGTCCTTGTTGCAGGAGAGTTCGTTTCGACAATCCCCAAAAAGGTGGTTTGGGCCCGTTTGGATTCGCATATAGATCTCTTGACAAAAAGCTTGATATAAGATCTCTGATCTTCATCTCGGATCTTTCCGGAATGTTTCACCAAACTTCTGACTTGGTGAGATCTCTTTTGAGTCCCAGAAGAAGTTAGAACATGAAGTGAGAAAGGAGCACGAGGTCTGGTGAGATCCGTTTTTTTCTTTCAGAACCTCCACTGGGTCGATCTGCTTTTGGTGGTTAGAACTGCAGGCCTTTCAGATGATGTCTGGGGAGATTAAGCAGAAGCGCTCAGTGGGACCGGGGGGCTGAAACCATCATGGTGTCTTGGTGAGGAGCAAATGGATTTGGGTGGTGCTTTGTCAACTGTGAAACAATTTTCTTACAGAGACATATACCTGCCAAGTGAATCTTAGGATTTGTCATGATTTGTGGGAAGGAAGATGCTTACATGCACTCTTTTTTGAGAGATCCACTTACTTTTTCCAGGAAACAGGACTGTGCATAGGGATGCTGCTGATGTTCAAACTCATTGTGCGCCTTGCCATGGATTGGAATGGCCCAACTGAAACATGAAGAGAAGATACAGAATGGACGAAGGTCAGGCATGCCCATTTCTTAGGATCAGTTTTGATTCAGAGCATCAGACGGCTGCTCAGTCAGGTCTTGAGCTGTTTGGTGATGGTCCCCCAAAAAACCTTTAAGGTCCTCAAATATTGGTTCTGCAGACAATTCTTCCTGAAAAGTGGTGCTTCTCTGGAGAACTCCAGGCACAACTACGTAGTTTTTGTGATTTTGGCAGCTTTCCATCTTCGATGCTTTAATCTTCCACAGGAAGATTGTCCCAGCCACCCTAAACTTGATCTTAACACCCTCCTATTGTCCAAGTGCTATCCAGAACATGTCCAGCGCAGCGTCGCACCCACTTGGCTCCGGGCCCCCGAGGGGTCGCGTGGCCTCGCAGCCCACCAGCTCGGTGCGGGCGGGCGGCGCGACGTTGGGCGCTGGCACGCGAGCCACGGTCTTGGTTGGAGTGGAGCGGAGTGCGGGGATGACTTGCGGGGGAGGTTTCCCAGGCAGGGGAGGGTTGGGCATGTTTGTTTTTGAAGACCCACTGGAGGGTACTGGGTAGGTTTGAGTTCCTCACACAGTTTTTCTGTGGGCCACTGGAGGGGTAAGAGGGTTGTTGTGTGTGTGTTTTTTGATGAGATCCTTGCAAGGGTCTTGAAACCATTTTGTTTCATGTTTTTTTTTTTTTTTTTCGTGTGGGACTTTTCCTACAAGAGGGATTAGAAGCACTTACAGTAGTGAGAACAGCTTGTCTAAATCGGAGGCGAAGTAGATTTCGCTGGCAAATGAGCCAAGAAACCTCTTGGTAGAGAGGGACGTGCACCGCATTTTGAGAGATCCAATATCCGAGAAATATTTGTTCCTGAACTCTTTTTGTTCTTTTGGTTTTGCACTAGCTTCCTCGTTCTTGCTGTAATTATATTACAATATGTATACTGTATATACTGTAAACAATTTTGCCGACCGTATCTTTCTTCTACATTCCTTCCTGAGATCCACAGACCTGACGCATGTGCTAGCTAGTTTGCTCGCTCTGGCCAGGAGTGTATTTTCTCTTGACAAACAGGATGACGATCACTGGTCCATGTGCGAGAAAAAGACATCAAGACATGTTCACCAGGCAAATGACCAGGGTCTTATCGCTGGACCTATGAAGAAGTCTCAGCTGGACCTATGTGTCGTGACCCTTTTCCGTGTTTCGTTTTCGTGAAACAGGCTTTTCTATGTATGTTTCTCGGAGGAGGAGCTCAATTTTTGGATCCCTCCTTAACTTTTCAAGTTCACCACATTGAACCACACTCAACGCGGTGGACACAATGGGTTACGTTCTTTGGTCACGTGCCGAGTGGGTGCAGCAGATGGCCCGAATGGTGGTCGCCAAACCGACCCGTTCGCTCGCTCGCTGAGGTCAGCCCAGGGGGCGGCTGCTGCAAGTAGCTCTGGAGGAGTCGGGGGTCCCATGCCATGCTGTAGAAGAAGCGATGTGTAGATCCAAGGTGATCCAAGTGCCTTAGGATGCCGCAAGGGCCTGGATGCAGTGCTTGAACAACTCTGCGAGGAATGAAGAGGATGAACTCTCTCAGCTTCGCCGCGGGCAGTACAGGGAGCTTGCGAGGCTTTGACTCGAGGGGGCCCGGCCCATGCAGTCCCGGCCTGGAGAAAAGGTCTTCGCTGGAAGGAGGAGCAATCCCCTCTACTTGGGAGTTGCAGACATTCTTCTTCTTTTCAGAATCAT